TAATTAGTGATTAAAAGAACTAATTAAATATGGACTCTTATATATATGGAATGGGCCAAGTTCATTTAGGTTGGGCTAAGCTTTCATGGATGGTCCATGGAGCTTTTAACCCATGGATCCTATGTAAATGAAAGGTCATGGGTATTAGGGTTTACATGGATGTAACCCTAATCCTCCATAATATATAAAGGGGTCCTTGGCTCACAAAATTGGCACAAGTGTGTGAAAATAAGAGTGGGCCGATTTTAGTGTGCATACATATTCTCTCAAGTTCTTCCAAGGTGTTTTGGTGATTTGTGATTCCATTTGAGGCTTCCACACTATTGGGGCTAAGCTCTTAAAGCTTGAAGACATCAAGCTACATCAAAAGGTATGTCATCTAACTAGAACTTTGTAGTATAGGTGCTTCATAATATGCTAGTTAGGATGAAACCTTGGAATAGTTAATATTTGCATGTATAATAAAGAAAACATAGATCCAAGGTTTATAGGGTTGCATGTACACCATAGGAGTGTTAGAATGCTCAAAACCCAACACCAACATCAGGAGTGTACGGCCGCACACTGGGTGTGCGGCCGCACACCCCTCTTCTGGAAGCACACTCACGTGTACAAAGGTAGAACTTAGCCTTCATTCATCCCTTTTCACACTCCTAAGCCTAGAACTCGATTTCTCTCTCAACTATCTTCCGATTTTGCGCTTAGATCTTCAAGATTGTAAGTGTTCTACCCTTGATTTGTTGTTAATCTTCTTAATCTAGTAACACCCTTTGATTTCATCCATTGAAAATCATGTTTTGGCTAGATCTTCAAATCTTCAACCATTTCACCAAGAACACACACTTGTTCTTGGCGATTTTGAGCCTTCTCGAGCCTCCGGATCGTAAGTACTCTTCCCTTATGCTTGAATTTTGTTAAGAACACTAGATTAAGTCCTTGAAAATTCCCATAACTCAAGAACATATGGTGTGTGCGGCCGCACACCCAGGTGTGGCCGTACACCTCTCAAAACACCCTCAAAAACACCCCTAGAGGCTTCCATATTGTAAGTACCATCCCCTAAGCTTGTTACTTACTAGATATGATCCTTAGAAAACGTCCAAACCATGATCATCAAGGAGTGTGCGGCCGCACACACTCCATGTGGCCGTACACCCCTTTGTTTAGTGTTTAAGGGCCTCCAAAGTGCCTTTCTAGCTTCAACACTTGATGAGCATTAGTCCTACAAGCCTCCCTACCATTGGAAAACGTTTTTTTTGCACTCTTTACCATGAGTGTGCGGCTGCACACTCCCTGGCCGCACACTCCTCAAAGTGGCCGTACACTCCCTTTATGTGAATCACATGTGATTCCAACACTTGGTCAAAGTGTTTCCTAGTCCCGTAAGGTGTTTCTTTGCATTTGGTTGCTTCTAAACACTATATTTATGCCATTATATGCTATTATATGTCACTTAGGACTCGTTAAGTCGCGGGACTTCATTCGTGGAACTTCTCATCCTTACGCGCATATTCGTTTGAATCACCCACATAAGGTGAGTTCATACCCCTGTAATCAATCTTTTAAACTGTTTTAAATGTTTTAAGGGGGGATACAAGTTGAACACAATGATAATTGTGTAATTGTTTGTTATAAACATTTTTAAAGGATTGCTTACGTCATTTATAAGTAGTCAAAACATTTCAAAACTCTTTTAAAGTTTGTTACTTTATAGTTTAACAAAACTCCGTTTTTAAAGTACAAGCATAGCTTAGTAGAAAAATGAGTCTTTTCAACAACAGTTCAAGTAAATTACTAGTAAACTATAAGGGGTATAGTTTAGGGGTTCAGTTCATACTATAACTAGAAGATACTAAGATGCTAGATACTAGAGAATACTAAGATACTATAACAAGAGAAGATACTATAACGAGAACATACTAAGATACTATAACGAGAACATACTAAGATACTATAACAGAACGAACATAATAATGTGCTATAGCATGGGACAACTACAGGATCTAAAAATACCAATGAATCACTAACTCATTGTTCTAGGCAATTAGTGATAGTTATATTGGGTATACATGATCATATAACTTTAATGCGAGACTACTTCACAACTTAGAAACTGGTTTGCTGAAGACGCGTTTTGTAACCAGAATCTCTTGTAAGGAGAGCGTATAGTATGGGTACAACCACATCACATTATGACCTTAATAAAACAAACATGTTTTAAGGTAACCAGTACTGCAGAATGTCAGTTCATAAGACAACTGAGTACTTATATTTTCCTATTATTTTCATATTGTGACAGTTCCACTTGAAAGTTAATACAAACTATTTTCGAGTCAAGATAGTTATAAACTAGGGAAAACTTACATTTTACAACCGACATACAGAACAGTCGAGTCTAAATTGTTTGAGGGATAACAATTTATGTGTTATGCACTCTCTGGCGTTTTACTCGGGACACTCTGATATTATGAATAAATTGTTTGATGTTATGGATTTTGAAAACAAATGTGATTGGAATTTTTTGTGTTATGGAAATGATTTCGTTACTTAAAAATGAAAAAATTTATTGGAAATTTGGGTTGTTACAAACCGCTTGCGGAACACGGTTCACTAATCAGAGTTCACGTGGCTCTGACAGAACCCGAAAAAGTAGAAAGTACTGTCAGAGATTTGTTCCCCCTTGCCACATGTATAAAAGGCACCTATTCTCCCCCAAGAGAATGGTCCAAGATCTAAAACCCTTTAACACTCTCTTTACGCTTTAAACCCACTCTCTTTCAGAATCTCACTGACTTGATCGTCAGAGCCTCGTTTCGGGACAACCTCCCGGACGATGACTGACGGTCCTATTTTCTTTGTTGTTATTCTCAGGCTCTTCATTTCCACCCCTCGGAAAGACGGAGAGTCAAACCGGTGACATATCACAACAATATAGATACATGTAAGATAACTAAAAACTATTTATTTAATTATAGATTTTCATATTAGATATTATATAAAATTTTAGTTTTTATTTTGTTCATGTTTTTAGTTTAGCTGTTTGAATTTATACTTTGTTTTTGTTATTCAATGCAAAATTAGTTTAAATATCATTTAAATTATATCAATTGATAAACTTTATGAAATATATTTTGATGTGAATAAATAGTTGATAATATTTTAGTTAAGACAACATAATACTTTTAATCGATATGTGGTATTAAAACAAACACACTGGTGGTTATTAACATAAACATACACTAATAGTTATTAACACAAACACATATTGATGCTTATTCATAGTGATGATTATTAACACAAACAACATTGATGTTTATTAACATAAACACACGTATTCTATACAAAGAAACAAAGTGGCACAACAATAAAGTTCACAATATAATTCTAGTGGTAATGACATCATTGAAATTAACCTAATTATATCTCTAAGTTAACATAATTAGAAGGTCATCACCAAGTTAACATAATACAATTACTAATTTAACATAATCATAATGACATCCCGAAATTAATATCCATATTAGATTCTAAACAACCAAAAGACGGTGTACATATGCAAATGTAATGATTAAGATCATCCTAACGTTTTCATCATACAATGACAACAAAAGACGAGCTATCATTTTTTTTTTTGCATAAACCTAAACACTACCCCATTCTTGATGAACCCTTAACTAATCCAATGGGAACAAGATTGTTTCCTTTGGATTATGAAAATACACCAAATATTTAGAACATACTTTCTTGATAATCTTTCCAAACCAACACCCATCCATATGGTTGCATCAACGATGTCTCCTACAGAGAAGACACGTACAAGAATCTTAGGAGGAATTGGGCGGATTTGTTCGATTTTGACAATATCTCTTAAGGGTTGTTGTACATCATCGCCGAGGAGGGTTCGATACATGACAACGAATTTTGTATCGAATATTGAAGCAATGATGTTTGTTGTGTAGCAAGATTCCTCGAAACCCGTTGGTAGATGGAAATTTCGAACATATCACCTCTTTCCAACTTCATTCTTGTTCCTACATGGATTTTCAACCACGATTACGATTATGATTAATGTTTTTCAAACTTTGACTTTGACTTTGAGTTGTGTGTTTTCCAACCACGATCTGTAATTCCAGCTGGTTAGTTGGTAGATCGAAAATGGAAGTGTTGATGAGTTTTAATTTCCGGCAACAACAAACAGTTTTGACATTTAAGAGGGGAAGGTCGTCGACTTGGGAGATTTAAGATCAATGACCAGATTTACATCAATGATAAAAATGTTATTTTATCGATATTTAATAAAAAAAATTAACAGGGTGAAAGGACCGACAAATTGTGAAAAAATAAAAATCATAAAACAAAAATAATGCAAGTGAAAAACTTATAACTAAAATTACAATATCCGACAAACCAAATAAACCATTCCTATAATTAGTCTTTTTTATAAAGTTTATTATGTCCTTTCTTTATTGAAAAGTTCTATTTCATAATCATGACATTGATCAAATTATTATTAACCAGCTAAATCTATATATTATTAGTACATCATCATTATATTAAATCGGAATAAACTTATTTAAAAAAGTTAGGGGATAGCAATTGATATAAAATATTGTATTTCATCTAACTGGTCACATTTCGTTTTTTACCAAAATGGCTAAAAGTAGAATTAGTGGGAAATTACACCTGAGGACCAGATTCCATGAAGTTTCTCACACAATTTAAGGGTAATATCGTCCTCGTGAAATACCATACACAAGCGATAAATAAGGGCATTTATTCACGAGAAAAACCCACAAAACGGAATTACAACATGACACCATAGTACACTTAAGCTCCAAGCAAACCCATACACGAAATTACATAAATACCCCAAAAATCTTATATAATTACGTACCCAACCCCCAAAACCATCGCTTATATATATACGTATCCCGGTTCGTTTTAACACGCTCTCTAGAACATTTCCTCTCCTCTTGACTGTTGAAACTCGATCGGAAAATATGGAGGAAGAAGACGATGCTGCGGCGGCGAAGAACGCCGTGTTCCCGGTTGTTTTATTCGACGGTGAGCGCGAGACGGATGTAGGCAACGTAAATATTCATCAAGATCTTTTGTTCAAGGAATTTCAGATGAAGTTGAGCCAAATGATCGGTATATCGTACAATAATTTAACGACTTACTTAGTCGATAGCAGGAAATCGAAGATTTCGCCGGAGCGACGGAAGATTCTGATAACCGGTAAGGTTAACTTCTCTGTAATCATTAGAGAAAGAAACTGTTACTTCCTTGTGGTTTTGAAGCGGTCAAGAAGAGACCGCCGGAGGAAACCAAGTCACCAGAGCGATTTAGATTTCCGGTTGGCGCCTGATGATCTATCACGTATCCATTGGAATCAGCTTGATATGAACGACGCACAAATGTCTGGTTATAGTCCTTATTACTACGATGAACGGTTTCACGATTTGTTGATTCAGAGAGAAAACTACATGAATATGATTTTGAATTCGAGATACGGATTCGATTCTCCTTTGAACATGAATTTCCCGAAGATTGAAGAGGTGTACCCAAAAGTCCAGTCGAGTCGTGCCTTGTGTGAAGATTGCACAGCAGCGGAAAAACAGGGGAAGACAGCTGAGTTTCACTTGTGTGTTTACGATGAGGTTATTGTCGATGGATTCCGGTCACCGGCGGGACCGGTTTCTCGTCGCCGGTGAAAGAGCCTTTCGTTTTCTGTTACCTTTTTGATCCAAAACGCTTCTGGAAGCGTGGATGTTTGTAGTTATTTTTTCCCTTTTCGCGAATGTTCATACAAAAAGATGGGGAGTGCTCCGGTGTAGCGTGGTGTAGGGTAAGGAATTCATTTGATTTTGTTAATTTAATTGTGTGGTGTTTATATCTTGATAAATTGATGATAACAAAACATGGTATACGAATTAGTTTCTTGATATTAATATCATTCACTAATTGTTAAAATATATATTTGATATATGTAAATCGTAATGATGGTTATGATTGGTTGATGTGTGTGGTTTGGACGGGTCCACGTTCCAGTTCATCAATTGGGGGAGCTTTTGGTATCGAGTTCGCAATTTGTTTATGACCTACTCGAGTTAAACGTGTTAATGACTTTATGAATGGGTTTGCACTTTGCAATTCATTTATAACTTAACTCCAAATTTATAAAAGTGTTTGTTTATATTGCTTGAATGATTAACTTGCTATATTGGGTATGAATTCAAATAAACATTCATAGGAAATGATGTTATATTGGTTACATGTATGTGTTAGAGATAGGGATTCAAATAAGAATAAACGTTTGGATAATTGTGATTGCAATATTTTGTGAAATCTATAATTAGCCTTATATTAATTCAGACCAAGAGATAATCCAAAAGATCGAAACAGGGGCTATAGGATTGATATGATTAACAAATACAAAATACCTTTGTTTCGTGTTCCGGAGAGACATTATTTTGTTAGATATACAATGCAATTTTCGTATATCTCTTATGCACCGTGTATCTTCAATTTATATATTGATGACGGTTTTGAAGGGAAACTACATGACTTCCAGAATAGACACAACCTTTTGATTTTGGCAGGAACTATTCGGCTGGATCCATTTCCGCTATATGGATTCATTTTGGGTTGATATGCTGCCCTACACCCCCTAAGGGCGCCCCTGTTGACCGACACTAGAAGCTTTACCCCTTCAACCGCGTTAGGGGTATTGTTTCTAGACCCTGCCAGGGATGATATCTTTTTGAACTTATCCAGGAGTCTTGCTCCTGAACCCCCGTATTACCCAATCCTTATTAGTTATTCGAGTGTGTATTATGTACCTCTTGTCTCGAAAAATATAGCCAAATAGAATTCAGATTGTCTCGAATAAAATTATGGTTACATTAAATGTGTTAATGATACTAAAATCACCATTGTTGGACCAATTTTTCTAAAGCAAACTAAAATCACCAGACCAATTTTTCTAAGACAAGCTTTTCACCAAAACACGGTTCATTTACGAATTCAAATGAACATTAACATTTTTTTTCAATCCCTTTTCCTTTTCCTTTTCTTTTCAAGATATGTGTTGATTTAAAAAGTAACATTGGGTGTTGACATTGGTTGAATGGATTGGATAATGTCAAAAACATTGGAACTTTATGATATATGGGACTTTGAAGCTTGTTAATATGAATTAACGTTTATATGATGTTTCATGCTTTTAAGGAATCATATATAACATGAGTTTTGAGTATGGTTGATAAAGCTAGCAAGTAACTTTGGAAGTAAATTTTTATTTGTGTATAATTGTAAGGTCAAAATAGCTATAAATTTTGAAAGGTATAAAACTATATAAAGCAAAAAAGTTAAAGATTAAAAGTTATTAATCACTCTTAAATGCTACTTGAACAAGTTACAAGTTTATTCTACCTAGGTGACTAAAAAAAACAAGAGGTTTTATCACTCAACTTTTTCTTTCGTTCTATTTAAATACATCGTACTTTTATTTTAACATATTTATATGAAAATTCAGTTCTCACTTAACCAGCTACCCGTATAACATGTAATTTAAAAAAAAAATCCAGTAAGTTGGAAAATCCTATTGATCATTAAAAACCATTTACCTTTTCATGTTGACTTCTATATCCAATCTACAAAGTATTTTAGTTTTAAGCTTCAACGTTATTTTTGATGGGTCTCTTGAGAAGAAAGTATTGATAGCCTTACAACACATATAGTCGCCGCCTTGTTAGTTGTTACCATCTCTATCCCATCTCGACAGATCTTTTTCAAACCGTAACACCTGTTCCAGATATTATTTAATTTTATAAGTTTTTAGGGTTTTGTACTGGGACTCGGCGAGTTGGGGAGCTCCAACTCGTCGAGTAGAGATCATTTATGTGGACGCAGGACTTAGAACCTACTCGACGAGTCGGAAGGCCCCGACTCGACGAGTAGGCGCTGTAAAGGGAAACGCTAATTTTCAGGGGTTTGTACCCTATTTAAAGAACTTATAGCTCATTTGTAGCCTCTTTCATCGTTCTTACAGTCCAGAAAGAAACCCTAGCTGCATTTTGGTGCTTTCTTGAGTGTGTGTGAGCCTTGGAGAGTGGAACTTGTGCTTTTGAGAAGGAAACTTGAAGGTGAGGAGATTGAAGAGAGGAGAAGGCTTTACCCCAACAACTTGTTGTTTAGCATCCATTTAGAGGTAAAAAGTTGCTGCCTTGATCTCTATTTGCTTAGATCTCATTTTATGGAAGAATATGGTCACTTTTGGTGCAAAATGGGGCCATACTCGGATTTGGACTTATCACAAGGATATGGTTCCAGATCTGGACATCTCTAGGTCCTCAATGACATAAAGTTGCTCACTTTATCCAACTTAGGCCCTTTCCATGCACTAAAACCTTATATGAAGCTTAGTTTTGATGTTTTAGCCTTGTGAGGCCTTGCATGCACGTAAAGTTTGCAACTTTACGTGGTAACTGCACTAGGGGAGGTTGGATCTAAAGTTTGGGACCTTAGATCCCGCTGGAAAGGACTGAACACAAAAGGACTGAAGGAACTCGTCGAGTCCCTTAGTCGACTCGATGAGTCGGGTAGGGTTTACCCGTTTTTGAGATTCTAAATGAGTGCAGGGAAGGATTAGAGTTTTGGTCTGCATGAACTTTTGGTCTTCTGGACATTTGATGAACTTGACGAGTCACTTAGGTGACTCGGCGAGTTGACTTGGGATTCAGTGGAATGGACTCGGGAGGAAATCGACGAGTTGCTGGATGCACTCGACGAGTTGAGGTCAAAATGGACTGTTGACCTTGATGTTGACCTTGACTTTGACCATGGTTGACCAGGGTTGACTTTGAGGATGATTATGGTATTTCGGGATTGTGACAAGTTAATCACATGATGATTATAGGCAGTTTAGTTGGAGCAGTGCGTGGGATTTATCTGATCTTAGCTTGTCAGTTCAGCATTCGAGAGATGAGTCTTCTCACCATACTAATGGGTCTAAGGCACCAAGGTCGGCCCATTTTATGATATGTGGATTGTCGATTGATTATGCGTTATGTTAGTATGACATTTGCATGGAAGACCCCGGGGGGTTCCCGTGGCAGTAGACTAGGACCACGTGGGGGTTCCCGTGGCATTTGGTGTAAAACCTTTGAGGGTTTCCATGGCACCCTAGTATATTTGCCTGTTTAGTTTGTATGATATTTGCATGGTAGTGAAGACCATGTGGGGGTTCTCATGGCAGTTAATGAAGACCATGTGGGGGTTCCTATGGCAGGAAGACCATGTGGGGGTTCCCATGGCAGGTAGTTAAGACCACGTGGGGGTTCCAGTGGCACTAGGTGTAAGACCCTGGAGGGTTTCCATGGCTTCCTTATATGATTGTATGCATGGCTTATGTGATATATGTAGCTTTTATAGCTAATATGATGTGTTATGTGGATTGTGTGTGGGGTATGCTCTGAGGGACTCACTAAGCATTAGCTTACAGTTTGTGGATTTGTTTCAGGTACATCTGAGCCCAAGGGCAATGGCAAGACTTGATGACGTGACGTGCACTCTCTCTCTCTCTCAGGTGTTTTTATGGGACACTCTAATGATTTGAAATAAAATTGTGATTGTTACGAATTTGAAAACAATTGTATTTGGGATTTCATGGTTTGTGGAAAGTATTTTGGTTAATTAAAAATGAAAATTTTCTTTTGAAAATTGGGTCGTTACACAAACATAAGAAATAAGGCTTTCTGAATAAAAGAAACAATAAGAAAAACACTTCTGCCATGAAACAATTTAAATGATGTAGTTTAGCAATTGTGAGGAAAATTGTGTATTTTGATCTTTTACTTCTATATAAATCGCAAATGCTAAGAGATAAACAAATCAGAAACTCTAATTTAGATGCAAAATGAGTTGGATTTTAAAGAAACATATCACAATGTGAGCATCCAAATAAAATTTTGAGTAGAACATGTGCAAAAAAATGTTTAACATACATTGGATAAACAAGAGGTGGAGTTAGGGAGTAACCTGAATAAGAAATATACGATTCACTTTTTAAAGGATTAGAAATTAGGATTATATCCTTAGGTAATGTATAACCAGAAAACCAAATTAATGGTTATCGTAGTCTATTCTTAAATATATATAAATTTTGAGATTGCACTTGAAACTAACATTTGTTATGGTTTACAATATTGAATACAAAGAACTTCACATCCTATGCATACGTGATTTTTTGCTTTAGTCTCGGTATATTTTGATTACAATTATCATGGTACTAATTCTTAATGATTTTGTTCTTAAAATTAACCTATAAGGAAAGATCTTAATAAAAGTTACACTAAAAGTTACACTAAAAGTTACACCAAAAAGCTTCCAGTCAATAGATATCAAGTGTTGTCCTCCCTCCTTGAGGTTAAGGGTTCAAGACTCGTCTGAGACATAAGTGGATTAATGAGTAGTTTAAGATTAGATAAAGTTTGTTGTTCTAAAAGAAATTACTCTACTAATCAGACATAAGTTCTACAAATATATATATATATATATATATATATATATATATATATATATATATATTGTATCAGTAGATTAATAATAAGAAACATAAACTCTATATAAAAATATTGCATGAAGCTTATTGTTCTACATATAAGGGACAACTATATCACCCGATCAACACAATCATAGAAGGAAAGTGTAT